ATTAATAATTTGCTGTAAACCATATGCTGCAAGACGAGAGAACAAATACCATAGACATACTCATACAATCACATGCAGTTATATATTTTGTAGAGTGGAATCTCTGATCTCGTTTCCCCACTAAGAAGGTGATGCTAAATCACCTCATCAAATAGCTTAGGGTGTGAAAGATGGACACATTTATTTATTTTAGTCTAGTCTTCACACATCCCCTTGTGCGCGCCGGATTCATTTTTCATTTTAATCAAAGTCTTGGCGTGTGCACAATTTTCATAGATGGATGGCAATGAACTCTGGACCTCTTATATTATGCTCAACCACCTCCATCTAAAAGTCCAAGTTATAAGAGACGATGACACATTGACTTGTTTAAATTAAGTCTTAAAAGATCATGAGGATTCCTGTGGCTTAACACAAGTCTATTATTCTTTTGGTTTCGGAATGAAAAATCTTGACTAATTGTTTATCTGGACATAAATATGCAGTGTCGACTACCTGCTACAGTTCGCTGTATTTCTCATCCAAGCGCTCATGTTCGAGCTCTTAGTACTTCAGTTCTTCGAGCTATTCTACATGCCTGTTCAATGAAATCGAGCAGCAAACAAGAGGATATAAATGGCATTAGCAATCCACCTTATCTGTATCTAAACGTGGGCGTTAGCGACTGGCGAGCAGATATTGGAAAGTGTTTGACGTGGGAAGCTCATAGTCGACTTGCGACTGGCCTGCCTATAATGTTTCTTGAAAATGCTGCAAAGGAATTAGGCTGTACTATATCCATTTGAAACCACCTTAAATACCAGACTTTCTGAGTATGTTTTGTCTTTCATTGCAAGAGTAAAAACACGACAATTACTGGAATTCTATGATTTTCGTATTGGTCAAATACTGATATGAGTTTATCTTCTAATTTCTGCTAATGACAATTATACGTGTCTAACATTAAAATTTGTTCGATCTTGAATGGTGAATCGACTTCAAATAGTCTCAACTTTGACTAGCTATGCATAAATACTATCTAGACTTATAAGTTGAGATCTGTTGTTCAATTTTGTTGTTGATTCAATTAATTCTTGACACGTCATCAATTTAGTGGGTTGATGGTGAAGTTAATG